GGCAAATGGCAGCCCACCTGGAGTTTGCCAAAAGGCAACTGAGGGACTCTCAGAACATGAGAAACAAAACTCTCTGGTTTGATGAAACAAAGTTTGAACTCTTTAGCCTGAATACTAAGCGTCATGTCTTTAAGAAATCAGGCACCCTCACCACCTGGCCAATACCATCCCTACAGTGAAGCATGGTGGTGGCAGCATCATGCTGTGATGTTTTTCAGCGGCAGGAACTGGGAGATTAGTCAGGAGTGAAGGAAAGATGAATGCAGCAATGTACAGAGACATCCTTGATGAAAACCTGTTCCAGAGCGCTCTGGACCTTAGACTGAGGGCGATGGTTCATCTTTCAACAGAACAACGACCCTAAGCACACAGCCCACATAACAAAGGAGTGGCTACGGGCCAACTCTGTGAATGTCCTGGATTGGCCCAGACTTGAACCCAATTGAACATCTCTGGAGAGATCTGAAAATGGCTGTGCACCGACACTCTCCATCCAACCTGATGGAGCTTGAGAGGTACTGCAAAGAAGAATGGGGTGAAATTGCCCAAAAAAAGGTGTGTGTCAAAGCTTGTAGCATTATACTCAAAATGACTCGAGGCTGTAATTGGTGCTAAAGGGGATTTAACAAAGTATTGAGCAAAGGCTGTGAATACTTGTGTACATGTGTTTATTTTGTTCGTTTTCTATTTTTAATTTATTGCAAAGATTTTTCAAAATGAAGTTCTTTCATGTTGTCATTACGGGGTATTGTTTGTAGAATGTTGAGGAAAAAATTAATTTAATCCATTTTGGAATAAGGTTGTAACAAAACAAAATGTGGCAAAAGTAAAGAGCTGTGAATAATTTCGGGATGCACTGTGTGTGTATATATATATATATATATATATATATATATATTTTTTTTTTTTTTCAATTTAGAGTTCTTGTGCAATTTGTGATATTAAAGCGGAGTTCCACTCACGCTGTCAAAAAATAAAAGTGGACAAATACTGCCATGTCAAGATGTGCCATGCTGATAGACCCATACCCAAAAAACCTGAGTGCTGTAATAAAATCAAAAGCTGCTTCAACAACATATTAGTTTAAGGGTGTGCACACTTATGCAACCAATTATTTTAGTTTTTTAGTTTTTACTTCCCTCTACCCAGTGGCATCCCTAAGCAGGTGCAGGGGGTGCGCTCCGCACCGGGTGACACCTACCGCACAGGGTGACACCAGACCCGCTCCACAAAAAGGTAAGTTGTAAAGCAAGCCGACGGTCCCCGCTGGATGGATCAGATCTGTGGATTGAGCATAATGGATCGGAGTGCCATCCGTTATGCTCAAGCCGCAGATACGATCCATTCTGCGGGGATCGTCGGAGGGGGTGTCTCCAAGTCTTATTGCACCAACCCTAGGGACGCCCCTGCCTTCACCTAAAAGATTTCAGTTTGTTTTTCAACTAAGTTGTACAGTTTATATGTCACATTAAAGGTGGAAAGAATTCTGAAATTATTTATCTTTGCCTCATTTTTTTTACATCACAGAAACCTGACATTTTAACAGTGGTGTGTAGATTTTTTTAGCAGCAAATATCACACACATTGCACATAGTTAGGCATACAGTTAACCCTTTGATTGCCCCTAGATGTTAACCCCTTCCCGGCCAGTGTCATTAGTGCAGTGACAGTGTACAGCAATAGCACTGATCACTGTATAAGTGTCACTATTGATGTCAGTGTCAGTTAGTGAACCTCCCAACCAGCATCAGCTAGTGCCATAGTGCCCATCACACTATCACAGTCCCACTATAAGTTGCTGATTACCACCATTACCAGTATAGTGTCATAGCATACATTTACCATAGTTTGTAGATGCAATAACTTTCACACAAACCTATTATTACACTTATTGGGATTTTTTTTCACCAAAGACATATAGCAGAATAACTTTTGGCCTACATTTATGAAGAAAGTTATTATTTTTTTTTTTATTGGATATGTTTTTCTAACAGGAGGAAAGTAGAAAATATTGTTTTCTTTTTCAAAATGTTTGGTCTTTTTTTCCAGTGGTGATCAAATACCACCAAAAGAAATCTCTATTTGTGTGAAAAAAAATACATAAATTCCATGTGAGTAGAGTGCTGCATGACCAAGCAATTGGCAGTTAAAGTAGCACAGTGCTAAATACACAATGCTGTGATCAGGGCTTATGAGGGGTAAAACAAGTCTGGAGCTCAATTGGTTGAAGTAGAACTATAGGCAAAACTTTTTTTTTTTTTCGATAATGTAAGGGAGGGTTATAAATTTGTCAGTGTTTTTGCCATCTGTGTCCTATTTAGAAGATTTCCCTTCACTTCCAGTCCCATAGCCAAAACAGAAAGCAAGAGGAAAAATTCCTGAAAATAAGGGGTTCTACATGTCACCAGAACTAATGTCCCCATTGGAAGATTTCCTGTCTATTATCTTTCTTGGGACAACCCAAAATTTGGGAATTTTCATATACTTTCACTTTCAATAATAATGGTATACAGGACTAATAGAGAGGGTGAATCTCCCTAATGGGGGCACAGACAGCAATAAAAACCTAATAGGAGTTCTAATCCATCTCCACGCTATCCAAAACCTAAAAAAAAAAATTAAAAATGTTTTGCCTTTAGATATACTTCAAAGGAACCAGTCACACTCTCTTAATATGATTGAATGTTTGAAATATGTGCACACTCCCTTCCCCTCACTTCACATTTTAGTAAATCAGGCCCAGGCCTATCTTATTTTACATCAGTGAGCAATTTAATACATCAGGTTCAAGAGTGCTTATTCACATAAGTATCATCTTGCTCTATTCAGGATGTTCTTGACAGCCAAGATAACAACATGGGTCTGGGAAAGGATCAGTGGCAATAATCCCCAAAGAAGTGAGATTTATGTAAAAATGCTTCATTATTAAAATCTGCCTGTGACATAAGATATTTTCAGAATTCAGAAGAACTCAACTGACAGCATCATATTACAGGAGAAAATCCTTTAAAAGCTGGCTTGTTTTTGATTCATGAACACCTAAATCAAGGTGGGACTGGATACATGCTGATTGCTTCGTTCATGTCTTATGATAGAAACATCATTATGATCCCAGGGTATTTCTGTCCCCCAGGTGCCTTCTATTAGTTAAAACCAGCAGAAGGATCCTCATTCCATTGCTTACTTAGTGGATGAACGTTCATCTAAGCAAAAATAGCTCTGCAGTTGAAATATGAAATTCCAATTTATTATAAGTTATTTTTTTATAGATATGCCATTTTGTTTTTGTTTGAGATATTTTTTATAGCTCTGTATTACTAAGATATACACATTTCTAACCATAAAAGGCAGTGCAGTCACAATAGAAATGTACAAAACAACTAACTCTAAGATATGTGACAGCGGTAAAATGAAATATAGTTGCTGTGCACATCATACTTACTCTTCACATCTGCTTATCAAATAACCTTTACTAATGTGAAAAAGCACCAGTGTCTTACCCACTGTATTTTCTTTAATCATGCAAAGCATTTGGTATAACATTCTGGTGATGCCAGGCTGACTTTTTATTTCCCGCTATAAAGGCAGCAGTCTGTAGTGATTCATTATAACCATCTTTATCCACTATCATGCCTTCTACTCCTCCTTTTGGCTCTCTTCCTCTGTTTCCAAATAAAATACATCTGTATCTTTGTTGAAAACAGCACGGGGTAGCAGAATGTCAGCTTGATTATTGCCACTGCTTCCAATGGTAACAAGTCCCTGTAACCTGAAACGCTTTCCATTGAGCACAGCTGAAGTAAACATTCACATTTGCAGAGTTTGCATATTAATTCTGTCTCTACTACTGTATATTATTATTTTATTATCTATATATATATATATATATATATATATATATATATATACACTGCCCAAAAAAAGGAACACTTTTTAATCAGAGTATAGCATCAACTCAATTAAACTCCTGGGATATTGATCTGGTCAGTGTTAAGTATCAGAACAACAGGTTCACTAGATAGGCAACAATGAGACAACCCCCAAAAACAGGAATGGTTTTACAGGTGGAGGCCACTGACATTTTTTTTCCCTACTCATCTCACTGTTTTTTACTAGTTTTTACGTTTGACTAGGCTCAGTGTCACTACTGGTAGCATGAGACGATACCTGGACCCTACATAGGTTGCACAGGCAGTCCAACTCCTCCAGGATGGCTCATCAATTCTTGTCATTACCAAAAGGTTTGCTGTGTCTCCCAGCACAATCTCAAGAGCATGCAGGAGATTCCAGGAGACAGGAATTTACTCTAAGAGAGCTGGACAGGGTCGTAATAGGTCCTTAACCCATTAGTAGGACCAGTATCTGCTCCTTTGTGCAAGGAGGAACAGGATGAGCACTGCTTGATTTTCGGGGTGTCTTTGAATTTAGTCCTCTGTAGGTTGACCATTTTCATTTATGTTTATAACATTACCCAGTCCATATCAATATAGATATCCAGCATGATATTTTGCCCCATTAAGATCTGATGTGTTTTCAAAGTGTTCCTTTAATTTTTTTGAGCAGTGTGTATATGCACTGTATTGCCAAAAGTATTGGGACACCTACCTTTACACACACATGACCTTGACATCCCAGTCTTAGTCCATAAGGTTCAATACTGATTTGACCCACTCTTTGCAGCTATAACAGCTTCAAATCTTCTGGGAAAACTGTCCACAAGGTTTAGGAGTGTGTCTATGGGACTGTTTGACCATTCTTCCAGAAGCGCATTTGTGAGGTCATGCACTGAGTCAGACGAGAAGGCCTGGCTTGCAGTCTTGCTCTAATTCATCCTAAAGGTGTTCTGTAAGGTTGAGGTCCGGACTCTGTGCAGGCCAGTCAAGTTCCTCCACCCCAAATTCACTCATTTCATGTATTTATGGACCTTGCTTTGTGCACTGGTGCACAGTCATGCTGGAACATAAAGGGGCCATCCCTAAACTGCCCCAAAAATTTAGGAGCATGAAATTGTCTAAAATGTCTTGGTATGCTGACACCTTCACTGGAACTAAGGGGCCAAGCCCAACCCCTGAAAAACAACCTCACTCCATAATCCCCTCTCCACCAAACTTTACACTTGGCACAATGCAGTCAGGCAAGTACCCTTGTCCTGGCAACCGCAAAAACTCGTCCATTGCCAGACAGAGAAGCGTTATTCGTCACTCCAGAGAACACAAGTTCATCGCTCTAGTGTCCAGTGGCGATGTGTTTTACATCACTGCATCTGACGGTTTGCATTGCACGTGGTGATCTAAGGCTTGGATGCAGCTGCTCAGCCATGGAAACTCATTCCATGAAGCTCTCTACGCACTTTTGTTGTGCTAATCTGAAGGCCACATGGAGTTTGGAGGTCTTAAGCTATTGACTCTGCAGACAGTTGGCAACTTCTGCACGCTGTGCGCTACAGCATGCACTGACATCACTCTGTCATTTTACATGGCCTACCACTTGGTGGCTGAGTTGCTGTTGTTCCCAGTTGTTTCCACTTTGCTATAATACCACTAACAGTTGGCCGTGGAATATTTAGTAGCAAAGAAATTACATGGATGGACTTACTGCACAGGTGGCAACCTATCACAGTACTATGCTTGAATTCACTGAGCTCCTGAGAGTGACCAATTCTTTCACAAATGTTTGTAGAAGCAGTCTGCATGCCCAGGTGCTTGATTTTATAAAGCTGTGGCCGTGGAGGTAATTGTAACACCTGAATTCAATGATTTGGAGGGGTGTCCCAATACTTTTGGCAATATAGTGTGTATATGAATATACTACATTATACACTATATACTTCTATTCTGATTAAAAACATATAGGTTAGTGAAGTATACAGCAGGGATATATACAATACATGGTTATTGGTGTGTCGATCGTGGCGTCAGTCCCCTGACCTTCTCACCAAACTCGTGACCGAAGGACTAGCCAATCTAAAACCACGATGTCACGTGCGTAACAATGCCACACCCAGCTGCACCCTGCACAACGATTTTCCAGCTAATAGATCACCAATCGATGTACCAGCAGCCTGAATGAGCTTGTTACTGGGTCAGGTTAATTATGCAATTAACCCTTCACACTGCCACCACCTCCTTTTTGTACAGAGAAAAAGAAACTCGGCAATCTCAGCAATAACACTATAATGGTTGAGATAATCGTATGTATAGCACGGTCACCGCAGACAGTTTTATACAGAGGGTTAAACAAACACAGTAACGCCCTTTTAGAGGCAGGAATTCGTAAGTTGCAATAAGGAGCTATAGAAACAGTTCAACACTTTCAGAAGGAAAGATTTATTACTAAAAGGTCAAAAGGGTGCAATAAAAAATATTTACAGAAAAAAAAAGATGTAATTAATATATATATAAATATACAGAGAACAACAGCACAGCAAAGAGATAACAGAGAGAAGTTAGAGGGTTAAAGTACTTGCCAAAGTCCTGGGTTAGCAGATCAAGTTTCAGAGCAAAAGGGCATGGTCTCCCAAGGTGGTTCTGATGTTAAAAGGGAGAATTTTTCAACCTCACTTTCTTAGGCCTGACAGCCTATTTTGTCGTCCCCCAGCAGGGGGTGTTTCTAAAGCCAAGGACCAATGCCTCATTTAGGGAGGGAAGGTCTGGGCGGAGACCTAAACTAGAGCCAAAATCTCTCATAGTTCATATTTTGGCTCATCACTTTTCCTTTGCACAAGTGACATTCCACTCGCAGGTAGATTACTATGCAGACACATCTGAGGAATGTTCATAAATGAAATACATACTTGAAGGGTTCCAGAGATGTAATCTTCTGCTTTCCTAGGTATTCCAGTCAGGGAGTGTGACCTATCAAACTGTTTGTCTTCTCGTGGCCAATCTGATGATATACCTGGTTTTTATGTAAGTCTCTCATATTCCAAGATATGAGACATAGGGGAAAAATGGATTTCAAAAGTGTTATCTAGTCTCTACTCCTTTGGAATGTCATTGAACTCAGGGGAAGGCTTGGGTTATCTTTTTACGATGTGCAAGTTTACTCAGCTTCCCAGCACGCCCGGCACCCAGCTCAAAAATGTTTTATAGCTCGGAGCTTCCTGCTGTGGCCGGACCTGCCTGTGACACTTCCAATGCACACACACAACCAGATGTCACTGTGACTCTCGGAGAGGGAGAATGAGGGCGAATATGTTTGTACAAGATGGTTGACCCCTTGCCAAGATGGAGGTTGGAGCCAAAATGGTTGAACCGCGTCCATCTCTGTGTGTACGCTTGCTACAATTGGATCTATTATAGATTTATAGTCTTACTGAATGTATATTGTGGAGTGTTAAGTGTCCTGGGTTCTACCATAGATTGTTTTTTAAATTTGAAAGCAGGGTAAATGTTCATTACCATTGTTTGTTCCAGTTGAGCACTTATCAAAATACATTTATATTACCATCCTATTTTTATAAGTCATTGAAAGCTATATTTTATTTCAATATATTTTGCACAATAGAAATCAGAAAATTAAGAAGAAAGGGAGGTCAGAATATATGAGCCAAGACAGACAGCTAGACAACAATCTATTGTGTATCAAATTAATTAATTAAAAAAAATCTTTTGTCTATCAATCTCTATATTACAATTAGCTGTTCCTTTTAGTCAAGATGTTTTGCAAATTTTTCCAATGGCCTCCACCTCCCATCTACTGAATAGTTAGGGATGCCCTTAGTATTGCCACTGCCATTTTAATGAATGGACTGAGCAACATACATGTGCAGTAGAAGATGGTGGTTGATAGAACAACATACTGAAGATTTAAATCAACCCGCTGATTTGCCCTGCATGGTCAAGCTACAGGTTTTCACTTTGGTGACCAGTGGTGTTAAGAGCTATAACAGTCTATTTGCACAGCATTCAATGGATCCTTCTGAAATGTACCTAATAAGAGAAACTCATAATGAACCAGTTGCACTCTAGAACTTGTCATTGCTACTATTAGCGAGCACCTCTTCTTTGTATGTACTGCAGTGTCTGTCTGCAGCCTTCCCCTACTCTCACTCTGTGACTGTATCATTGCCAATGGCAAGACTAAAGCAGCCCATAGAGTATGACATTTTCTTTCTTTCCAAAACAGACAGTGTTGATGAGGGAACCCTCTGAAGCACTATTGTGTTCTGCCAGCTTTGGGTTTTCCCAGGAAAAGTAATAGAGGGAAAATGTTCCAATGAGGACACTAATTCTGGTGACCTGGGGGGTCCCCAAGAAATTCACTTAATTTGCAGGAATTTCCTCTCCCTTCCTGTTTAGCTATAGGACAAGAAGTGAAGGTAAATCTTCCCAAAGGGACAAACATAGCAAAAATAAACCTCATGGGAGTTATAACCCTGCCTTACTTTATCCAAAATGAAGAAAAATGTTTTGCTATAGTTCTACTTTAAAGTGTTACTAAACCCACAACAGTAAAATCAGTCTGTATATGCAGTAAAGCATGCTTGTTAAACTCACTATGGAACCTAAGGGGTTAATCCTTAGCACTGTATAAAAAGGCTGTTTGATTCTGTCTGCTCTTCTACTGTCCCCAATCCATCTGCTGATAGTACTGAGCTCTAGGAGTCAATCTGCACATGCTCAGCTTGGTGTGCATTGCTAGAAAACATTTTTTTTTCTTTAGGAGAGTGCATGTGATCAGCATAGGGCCAATCAGCACTATCCAAACAGAGTGTCAGGGGTTATGCAACCTCATACGACAGTTGGAGCAGAGTGAAAACTCCTCCTACACGTTTTAACCAATGCTCAGTTGGCTAGAAGTCAGAAGGCTGCTATATGCTGGTGATGAGAAAAGGTATTTAGCGGTTTATATTTACTAAGATAATTGCATTTCTATGTTTTGTGTACTCTGGGAGACCAGATATAGTGAATGCAGGGTCCTGGGTTTAGCAGCAGAAAACCGTCTAATGATCTACCTCTTATGATTTAACTCTTACACCGCTGTGTAAGATTAACAATTGCTTCACACTGGATATATATCAAAGATAAATCTATAAAAACATTTAGCTCTGAATACAATAGCAGTACTGGTCAGTTATATAGTAATACACACCAAATAAATCCATACAATTTGTCAACAGTATATCTGGTCAGCCTAAATAATACAATATGTCACAAGAAATGCAGTAACCTTTTCGGAAAAATGTCCAATATAAAAATAAATATATATATCTCTCTATATGCAGATATATACAGTTGTGTTCAAAATAATAGCAGAGTGTTGAAAAGAGTGAATAAAGCTCAAAATCCTTCTAATAGCTTTTATTTCCATACACACAAATGCATTGGGAACAATACACACTCTATTCCAAATCAAAACATGAAGAAGAAAAATATATCACATTTGTGTTGTTCCTCTAAAACCTAAACAAATTGAAAAGTGAATATTAGACTGTTCAAAAAAATAGCAGTGTTTGTATTCTTCTTTACAAACTCAAACATTCACTATATTATAAACTGAAAAAATTTTGAAGATTTTGCTTTCCTTTGAATCACTTAATAATATTTAGTTGTATAAGCACTGTTTCTGAGAACTGCTGTACATCTGTGTTGCATGGAGTCAACCAACTTCTGGCACCTGTGAACAGGTATTCCAGCCCAGGATGATTGGACTACATTCCACAGTTCTTCTCTATTTCTTGGTTTTGCCTCAGAAACTTCATTTTTTATGTCACCCCACAAGTTTTCTATTGGATTAAGATCCGGGGATTGGGCTGGCCACTCCATAACGTCAATCTTGTTGGTCTGGAACCAAGATGTTGCACGTTTACTGGTGTGTTTGGGGTCGTTGTCTTGTTGGAACACCCATTTCAAGAGTATTTCCTCTTCAGCATAAGGCAGCATGACCTCTTCAATTATTCTGATGTATTCAAACTGATCCATGATCCCTGGTATGCGATAAATAGGCCCAACACCGCAGTATGAGAAACATCCCCATATCATGATGCTTGCGCAACCATGCTTCACTGTCTTCACAGTGTACTGTGGCTTGAATTCAGTGTTTGGGGGTCGTCTGACAAAACTGTGTCTCCATCCACTAGACCCAAAAAGAACAATCTTATTTTCATCAGTCCACAAAATGTTGCGCCATTTCTCTTTAGGCCAGTCAATGTGCTCTTTGGCAAATTGTAACCTCTTCAGCACATGTCTTTTTTTCAACAGTAGGACTTTGCGGGGGCTTCCTGCAGATAGCTTGGCTTCACATAGGCGTCTTCTAATTGTAACAGTACTCACAGGTAACTTTAGACCTTCTTTGATCTTCCTGGAGCTGATTGTTGGCTGAGTCCTTGCCATTTTGGCTATTCTTCTATCCATTTGAATGGTAGTTTTTCGATTTCTTCCACGTCTTTCAGGTTTTGGTTGCCATTTTAAAGAATTTGCGATCATTTTAGCTGAGCAGCCTATCATTTTCTGCACTTATTTATATGTTTTCCCCTCTCCAATCAACCTTTTAATCAAGGTACGCTGTTCTTCTGAACAATGTCTGGAACGACCGAATTTCAGAAAGAAATGCACTGTAACCAGCATGTACAGCATTTGCTGCCTTCCTTCCTTAAATAAGGGCAATACTTGCCACCTGTTTTTCAAAGAATGAATGACCTTACTAATAGAACTCCACACTGCTATTATTTTGAACATGCCCCTTTCAATT